GTTTGATAAATTGTTTTGAAGTCTTGTTGAGTATGTTATTTGTTCCATCTGATATATGCTTCAGGTCTGAGCCACTTAACTGTGGTACACTTGATTGCTTCAGTTAGAAATATTCCAAGATATTATTTAACTCTTGCATCACTGCCCTCTGGTAGCTCACCCGTCATCTATCTTGTGATACAGCCGTATTAATGTTAGTTTCCCATGTGAAGCATGTTGCTTAAATTCATACTCAAAAACATCATATTGAGATGACTTTAGTTTGCTTCCCAGTTTGCAGTTTATTAAAAACTCTTTCCTGTTTATTAGATTTAAGTCTTTAGTTGAAGATGCCAGTAGGAGTCTATGTAGGCTCTGTGATAGGGAATGTGAATTCTTCTTTTAGCTATTCAAACCACGTAAAAAGCTTGTTGTAGGTAAGCTAGTACATACTCTGACAATCTTTTGATTTTCTTTGCATCAGTCCATCTCAAACTGAAAATTGTATTTATTTATTTATTTTAATTGGGACAGATTGCTGTGAAATTTTAGCTTCATTTTTTTAAAAGGCCCATTCACCCACTTTCAGGCCTTTTTTCTCCTTTGAAATTTGAGACAATATTTGAACATAAATACTTGTGAAGTCAAAAGCCTGAAAATTTCACTGGACTATTCAGAATATATAATTTGGGACCGGGTACATAAACAATGAATTGGGGAATTAAAATATGGGAGAAAAAAAAACAAAACATTTAATTTTTTAATTAATTTTCATTGAGCATAACAAAGAAAACAAAATAGTTGTGTTTCACAATAATGCAAAATAAAATGGAGAAAATGTTTTAATATGACATTCTTAGTCACATACATGCAGAAAATATGCAATAGAAATAGTCGGGTACAGCTAATATGTATCACACTAGTTATTCTAATCTAAATAGAACAACATTGTGGAGTTTCCATGTAATTTCAGGTGGTAGTAATTACAGGTAGTAATTACAATGGAGTAAATAAGTATATAAAATATAAAAAGTATATATTTGAAAAGCATTTGATGCATGAAGATAACATTTCACAGCAATCATTATATATGTTTAAAAGCTGAACTAAAAAATGTTTAGGTGAATTGGAGATGGTTAGCAAATTTCCCACTTGTGGGACTAATAAAGATAAGATGATAACTCTTTATTGTCATTGCAGTCATACATAGTACAATGAGCACTACATATAACACAACATGACACGATATGACACATCACATCACAACGCAACAAACAACACAACACAGTATATTAACTTAGTATAAAAAAGAAGAATAAGTGTATGTGTATTGCACACTGTTATTATTGCATATTAATTATTATTGCACCTTGTTATAAATATAAATATTATTATTGTTATTGTTTTAAACATTGTTACCTCCCTCCCAAAAAGGTCCAGGGAGGTATCAGGTCAGCTATTTACATTGATCAGGGCTATTGCCCTGTTGTAAAAGCTGTCCTTGAGTCTATTTGTTCGGGACTTCAGCAGCCTGAACCAGATGGCAGCAGCTTAAACACCCGGTGTCCTGGGTGTGTGCAGTCCCGTAGGATGCTGCGTGCCCTCTTGAGACAGCGAGTGCTGTACAGGTCCTTCAGGGAGGGAAGAGGATGTCCAATGATTTTTTGGGCCATGTTGATGACCCTCTGGAGTGCCTTTCTGTGTGCTGTGGTGCAGCTGGAGAACCACACTTATGTCAGCACACTTTCAATGGAGCAGCGGTAGAAGACGGTCAGCAGCTCCTTCTTCAGGTCCATTTTTCTGAGGATTCTCAGAAAGTGGAGACGCTGTTGGGCCTTCTTTAAAACCGGAGAGGTGTTAGAGCTCCATTGGAGGTCTGTGTCTATGTGCACACCCAGAAACTTGAAACTGGAGACCCTTTCCTCGCACTCCCTGTTGATGCTGACAGGCTGCAGCTCGGACTTCCTCCTTCTGAAGTCAACTACCAGTTCTTTTGTCTTGGTGGTATTGAGGTCCAGGTTGTTATCTACACACCAATCTGACAGCCTCTGAACTTCAGCTCTGTACGCCGTCTCATCTCCCCCTGAGGTGAGCCCCACCACCAAAGGTTTATCTTAACTGTCACACAGAAAGATGATTCGAGATGGAATGACTGTTTTGAGAGGGCACAATATCTTTTATAAATGCAATATTTCTTAGTGCAGAAATTTGGATTTTTTCCTCTAGATTTTTAGGGTACTGTCAGTTCCTGGTACTGAGGCAGGCTAATGTTCCTCAGAGGTCTCAGAAAATACAGTGTCTGTTGTATATGTTGTATGTTGTTTTAATAAGACACTGTGTGTTGTGTGTCTATTTTAGGTATTTTTTAGATGTGTGTGCAAAACAGCTTGAAACTAGAGACTCTTTCCAGCTCCTCTACATTCATGTTCAGCTGCGGGTTGGCTCTCTGACTTCTCCTAGCTATCAGCTATTTGGTCTTTTTTGGTATGTATTATGAGAATAGACACTGAACTAGCTTTATTCTCAAAGAAGCTCGTTTACATATAGGCTGTAGACAGTGAAATATAATGCAAACTACGGCATTAAAATGAAAAGTTCTTAAAATAAAAATTGACCGTTTCCAAAAATGCTGATCACTGCAGACACTTCTCTGTACAAACAGCCATTAGCTCATGAGGTAGTACATTCAAGGTTGTTATTTGCTTGCATAATGATCATACTTTGAAATATTGACACTATGTCTCATAATAACACCGCAGCAGGACTTCATCATACTGTTGCACACTCACACGTTCAAGTATATATGGGACACCCATCTTTTACCTATTAACTGTAAAGAAATGAAGAGTAAGCAGTTTGTCTGCTTGTACCTGTCAATGATTGAATAACTTTGAACCCCCTTGAAGTCTGCATTGCCACAGTTTCCACACGCGAGGCCTTCGGAGTTAAAATGTGGCTGAATTGGGGTCAATTATAATCCAGGCCTAACTAACAAGGTAGTATCGTAAAATACACATTATTTGCATCACACTGATGGAATTCTAAAGTGGGAAAGTGGAAGACGTATGAATGCATTGTGATGTCAGAGGTCAGAGGAGAATGGCTACACTGCTTCAAGCTGATAAGGACGTAACTATGAGTTAAATAGCCACTCGTTACAATTAAGCTATGCAAAGAGCATCTCTGAATGGAGAACCTGCTGAACCTTGAAGCAGATGAGTTACAGCAGCAGAAGACCACATCAGGTGCCACTCCTGTTAGCTAAGAGCAGAAACTGAAGCTACAATTCAAACAGGATCAACTAAATTGGACAACAAAAGACTGGAAAACTGTTGCCTGGTCTGATGAGTCTTGATTTGTCCTGTAGCATTTAGATAGTAGGGTGACAATTTGGTATAAACAACAACATCGATGCATGGCTTGTATCAACCCTTCAGGCTGCTGGTGCTGTAGTGGTGTGGAGGATATTTTTTGACACGCTTTTGGTCCCTTAGTACCAACTCAGCATCATTTAAACACCACACCTGAGTATTGTTCCTGACCATCTCCATCCCTTTATAAACACAGTGAGCCCATCTGCTGATGTGTCATGCAACAAGGAATGAGGATTTATGCTGATGCTGTGAGGATGAGACATGACTTCTGACCAGGCAGTTCTCATCACGATGCCCATGTATTTAACAAGAACATACTTTTCAAGCTGCCAACTGACGTGAATCACTTACATTGTGAGCTTTATCTGTGGAGACTGTGAATGGAGAGAAATAGGCACAAAAACCGAGATTTAATCCACATTTTCCACTGAACTCTGCATCATAAATGAGAAGCATTTGAATCAATGCTGCCTACTACTGGTTTTTATGAGACCTGCAGCTTCCTCGGAAACCAAAATGAGCTAATCTTGCACCTCTCTTAAATCACATCAACCTGCTTGGATTTTTAAGCAACTGAAGCACAGAAACTCACAAACAACTGATTTCCCAGCACTTTATTCATTCATTTAAAAATATCTTTTCACATAGGCACTGAAATAAATATTTCACATTGCAGTAGTCAGTGCCACCGCAGTAACATACAAAACACACAAAGGAAAAACACAACCAAACAGCAGTCCAAGCAGATCAAGCATTTAATGCCAAAATAAAGACACTTAAAAAAAAAACAGAGTGCTTTTGAGTGCTGCCGTCATGACTGCAGCAGTAAGTGCTCTGAAAAGAAAGAAAGAAAACCACACTGGCCTTGGAGTGTAACAGTTTGATCATTTTGTCCTAGTTTAGGCTCAATTGTGGACCCACAGATTGTAGAAGTGCCATTACAGTACAAACAGATGATAAGGCAAACCTGATTGAATAATGCAAAAAACAATACAAACCACCAAAAACATATAACTGTCCAAAAGTACATTAATTTGAAAAAGAAAAGGAAACTGACACACATCAAACTGGCCTTGTTAAAGCAACGAGGTGGAGGTTATCAGTATTTTTTCCTCACATTGTTGCGAGAAGCTTGATGATAAAAGGACTGATGGCTGATAACAGATATCTGCTACAGTTGACTGACCTCCCGGGCTCATCACTGAGTGCTATGTTAAGTGCTACTGCTCACAGCAAACTGTGAATTCATAGTCACACGTACCGCTGCTAAAGCGTCATTTCCTCAAAATTAAATATGAAGGAAGAGATCTCGTTTCCTCTCGTCAGACTCATATCAGCCACCACATTAAAACTCCTGTGAGTTGTGGCTGATCTGTTTTACAATAGGGCACAATATCAAAACTGGAAGCGTGCCAGTAGAGATAAATGCACTATCCTATAATTTGATCAAACAATTGCAATAGATAGACAACCACAGGTCACTTAGCACCTCTCTGATGAGCTGTGCTGAGTGAGGTGAACTGTAAGTAAGCTACAGCAGGACGACTGAAATCAGACTCCCAAATTATGTAAGATGAGACTGAAGACTAAAAAATATATACCCATCATCTCAATGATAAAAATGAGTTTAGCATTAAGATTAGTCTGTTTCTCTCAGCTGATAACAACAGCTTTGATTTTATATACTGGCTTTGCAACTTTGCAGCATTTAAAGTATTTTTTCCCAACATATGTGTTCAAATATAAAAAAAAATACTGCAAGTACTGAGTGACTGTTTCTACCAAAGAGAGGTAACTCGCAGTACCCAAACGGTAACGTTCAGCTCCCTTGGGTTTTTCTGTCATTCCCACTTCTTAATCAAGACATTTCACACAGAACCAACAACAAAACAAGGCAAAAAATAAACAAAATTAAAATAAATAATTCTTCCCACAGACTAAGAAGTAAGATTCAAAGGATTCAAAATACCTATTGATTTTTTTTTACCAACACTTCTGTACAAAAACTACAATCATAAACAACCATGAGAAAATGCTTTTATCACCCAAATATTTTCTACGAATACAAAAAATACAGTTTCATGCATTGATCTAATAGAGCTCACTGTTTTCTGTGCTTTAGGGGCTGAGTTAGTGTGGCCGACCACATCTAACATCAGCTCACAGTCCTTAGGGAGCAAACACAATCCCAGCACCAACCTCCACCTCCAGTGGCTCTGCTAAGCCGTGGGATGCAGGTACCCTCTCGGCATATTTATATATGCCTCATTATTAAAAAAACCCAAAGTGTTCAATCCCTCCAGCAGAGGTTTAGAACTAATTTCAAGCTGAATTTAAGCTGTTCTGGGGACACCTGGTGGCCAAACATCTTACTGACATGCTATATGTTTGTGTCAATCGGTCAGCTGTCTGTAATCACATCCGCTCATTCTCCTTTAATGCATGCAGTGGCTGACATGATGTGTTCATCCATTTTATTTTATTTTGGACAGTTAAATTACAGTGAAGGGTGTCAGACATATTTCTTACTGAGGCTGTGCTGCTGCTCTAATCCCTAATGTGGACTTCAGATTGGGAAGATAATCTGCGAGTGGTACGCACAGGTGAGTTGAACAGTGTGACGGAGGGCGTACGATAAAGAAGCCCCTTTATTTCTACCGCCGGTACTCAGAAGTACCTTGTCGTTAGGTTGACAAGGTAGAGGTCACAAAAATGCGGTTCTTCTTATTATTGTGTTGTTTTTAGGCAGCTTTACATTGCAGTTACATGATGAATTTCACTTAGCTCCTGGTGGTCTGCGCTGGGCAGGACTGGCTGTGTCTAAAGTGCATGATGTACACAGCTGTCTGATGCCACCAGTAAAACATAGCCACCACAAGTATGTGCCACACCTGGTGGCTGGCACCCAGGTAGTTCAGCTGGCCTGGAAAAAGAAAAAATAAAGTGTAAATATAATGCATTTATTAATTCTCATAATGTAGAACTGTTGTTGAAAGAAGTTCAATCGTTTAAAGGGAAAACGAATAACAGATGGATGGATGGGACGCGTACTCTGTAGCGGTCAGAGAGTTTAATGGCTTCATCGTACTGTAAAATGAAATGTCTGGTGTGTCGTTGTCATGGCGGTGTATACAGTACCCTCTTAATCATTAATATTTCTGTTTCCACATAAATTCACCATTTCCTGTTTAAGTTCATTAAGCAGTTTATTTGACTGGTAAATGGACTGATCCCTATACAGCTCTTTATATTTAGCATTTCAGAATCAGAATCCTTTATTAGTCCCAGAGGAAATGATGTGGTCCCAGCTGCTCCAAGACAGTAAGAACAGTAACTAACTCAACTAAATTAAAAAATACAATATATTACAACGTTACAAAATAGCTTTAATTATAAATATCCCAGTTTATATATATACACAAATTTAAAAACATATGGTTGAATTGATGTGCCTTTCTTATCATATTGACTGCCCAGAACAGACTCGTAGAAAATCCAGAGCATTGCCCGACAATTTTGGCCTCTAGTGGGAACTTTTTTTCCCTCCATACATTGTGTTTTGTGTAATCCACATGAAGATCAAACCATTCTTTTCAAAGACAGAGCGGTGAAGTTTAACAGACCATGTGTCTAGAGTTATGAACATGATCTGAAGAGGCCTGCACACTGCGACATCCCAGCAATCTTCTTCAGCAAACTTTATTGTACGCCACACTGCCTGATACCCGCTCGGGTCTGTCATGGTAAAACAAATAAGTTTCTGCTGCAACAAACCCGATTTCCTTCTTTGCTGGAATTGCAAACATTTTGTTTTACACTTACATTTACGTTCCTCCACTCCACTTAAGTTTGTACCAGTCTGTGTCCGTTGATCAGGGTGTCATTTCCTGTTCTACTGGTTAGTTTGTCGACTCAGATCTAGCAGCAGTCACATTGTGACATGTCATCTTACATTCCTGATACTCCCAGTTTACTTCCTCAAATGCTTTTTTTTAAACTGTAGGTCTCAAGACCATTAAGGTCAACTTCAGTACTCTGTCACTCTCAAAGCAACTTCACTCTTTTAAAGCTGCTTATTTCATCATGTATCATGAAAATGGTTCCTAATGTGAACGGGCATCGGCACATAGGTGTGGTAAGGATAACAGCTGAGTAGCTTTCATTGTAATTTTCCACTTCTGATCATGTTTTGTGAATCGTGTGAGTTATGGCTAAGAGACATAAAGTAGGGAGATCTACGGCCTGAGAAGCCTCAGAGCAGGAACTTCATACCCAGAATGATGATGATAACAGTTTAACTGATGGAGAAGGGTCAGATCAGCTCCTTTTTATATGAAAATGAACCCGACTCGTTCACTGGATTGCCAGATAGAGAAGTGTGATTCATCACTCCAGAGAACACGTTTCCACTGCTCAAGAGTCCAGTTTTTGCGTAACTTGCACCACTGCATGTGATGCTATGCATTGCGATTGGTGATGTAAGGCTCACCATGAAAACCCTTTCAGTGAAGCTCTATACGCTCGGCTCTTGAGCTCATCCGAATGTCACGTGAAGTTTGAAGGTCTGTAGCGATCGACTCTGCAGAAAGTTGGAAACCTCTCCACAGTGTGCACCTCAGCATCAACTGACCCCACTCTGTTAATTTACGTAGCTATAACGCTATCACTTCATGGCTGAGTTGCTGTTTTTTCCACTGGCTTCCACTTTGTACTCCTAACAGTTTACTGTAGAATTTGTAATAGTGAGAAAATTTCACGACAGGACTTTTTCCACAGTTGGCATCCTATCAGGTTACCTGGCCAGAGCATCCCATTCTTTCACAAATGTTTGTAGAAGCAGTCTGCATGCCTAGGTGCTTGCTTTTATACACCTGTGGCAATAGAAATGATTGGAACGCCTGAATACAATGATTTGGATGGGTGAATGCATACTTGAAAAGTTGATATCAAAATCGTTCACTCTGTAAAGCCAAAAGCAAACAGACACAAATGCTGCCGCAGACAAGCAAAACTCACCAGGAAAATATCGCTCAGGGATTTTGGTGACGTAGAACAGGAAGGCAGAACCAGCAATCAAGTACATTATTATAACTCGAGGCAGAAACAGCTGAAACAGAGACAGGAAAGATTTATTGTACACAGGGAAAATCCTCATTTCTGGGTTAAAACCATAGTAACAGCATCACAGCAGAAACGGCTTGTAATAAAGCTCTAAAACGATACAGCGAACATACAGCGCACGAGCTTTGTTTCCTGACCTGCACAACATCGGAGGTGAAACCACCATTGAGCCAGACCCAGTGGCAGGCAGGAATCGTGCCAACACCTGCCACGCAACAGAAGATTGACATCCGTATCCAACGCCAGTCATTGCTGAGGTAACGAGGGTGGACCTGAGCGCTGAAGACGGCCAGGATCAGGGACAGCACTGTCAGCAGGTAGACCTGCCGCCAAAACTGCAACCAGGGGAAGTAACAGACAATATAAAACACAGCGCAATATGAGCCTGAGGATCTCCAGTTTCATATCTTAAAGGAAAAGGAATTAGCCAGCAACCTGATACTAATGTTTGTGCTTACAGCATTACAATAGAAAGCGTAGAAGATCCCAGGTACATAGCAGCCCAGGATGCCAACAGAAATGCCTGCATAGTCCAATGCCAGCCAGCGGCGGCAAGTCTTCTCCGATCGATGACACGAGAACAGGTGATACCCCACCGAACACAGCATGCAAACCTGAGAGGGAAGCACACAGCACCAGATGCAAACGTTTTTCGACAATTTCTTTACGCATAGAGCATTTTTATGCATCCATCAAGCTAATCACATTTGTGACTACACGAAAAACTGTGTTCCTTTACCACATGGGTACATTATACCTACATAAGAATCACACTGACTAGTTATTCACTATATTAAAAGATTTCAAACCATTTGCGAGTGAAACTTACAACATAAACAAATACACAGCTAAAATGTCAAAATCCGCTATCTGTCAACAGGAACTCTAAACTTCACAGCTACTTCTATCTACACACCTGGGAAGGTGGCAGTGACCTGAGTGCACCTGTAGCAAGAAACATGAAACCTATGTTAATAGGTTTGTTCAGTCATGCAATTGCACAAAGCTACCCTGGTAAAATAAAACTGCTTCACAAACAATATCTGGAAACAGAAACATCTCATGCCAGCTAAAAGATTCATTACAAAAAATGCACAATAAGAAAAGAATCATGAGAAAACATTCATGAGAAAGTGCTTTATTTTTGCACAGAGCAGTGTACAGCTGCCTGATTAATGCACTGTCTGGACATGCCCTCACAGGAATTAAGGTGGATTTTTGCCAAGTTTTGACTCCCTGCACAACCTTTGCCCTGGTGGGTGGTGTCACCGTTTGCATTCATACTTGTGCACTGACGACGAGTGAAGCTGAGTGTTATACTTGAAGCAAATAAATAGTGAACAGCCCTCTCTTTAACTAAATGCAGGAAAGAGAAAAGACTTTAGAATCAGCTTGGGCCATAGACTGCTGATCAGGGAGCAACAATGGCAAAGAATGCCATGAGGATGACATGCAGAGGATTGGCATGACAGAGTAGGATGCTAGCGATAGGGTGAGATGGATTCAGGTGATCAGCCATAAGGAGCAGCTCAAAACTGTAGTTTTAGTCGTTTACTATACAAACAATGACAAAAAGCAATTGAACAACTTCAATCTCTATGCAAATATGAGGCAATCAAACTGCTAGCAGGCTACTAGTTTACACCGCACTCTCTTTCATATACATTTTGCTTAATGCTACAATCTGAATGACATGTGCATTTATCCTGTTTTTATGGTATTTTTATTCCTATTTTCAACATTATTTAATTATGTCATTTATTGATCTATGGTTATGACTGGAGGGATGATTATTTTTAAATCAAGAAAGTGATTTGTAATTTTGCAGCGACGAAACAAATCATTAAAACCAGCTCACAGGAAGCTCAAAAACCATCTTGCATACATACACACAACTTACCTGGAAACAGAAGAGTCCTATAGCGTAGATGACATAGTCCTCTCTGTTGGCTCCAGAAGCTGGCAGGACAGACAAGAGGTCGTTGACTCCCAGAGAGAAGAACAGCAGGAAACCCAAAAGGTGGCTCCAGATATTCACCGTCTCATTGGACAGAATAAAAATACTGCAAAAGAAATGTGCAGGATGTTTGCATATGCATGGTTTATGTGCAAATGTATGGATATAATCACTCAATTTTCCCCCTTCTGGTCTGTAATGCTATATATTTATATCTACAAAGTTGGGCAACTCAAAGAAAGATAATTAACAGTAAAGGCCAGAGGTGAAATGCATAAGCTTGATTTTGCAGTATTCCCAGTACCTTTTCAGGCAGAGTTTGGAGGGCAGGTGAGCCCTGTAGCCGTCTGTGATGTAGGGGTTTTCCTTCAGGAAGAGGGGGATTTGTTCGTAAGTGTACAGTCGTATCCTTTGGGGTATCAGCACCGGCCAGTGCTGATAACTGCCCAGCTCTATGTAGTGGGCAGTCTTCAGCAGCTTCTGGGGCATCTTCAGCAGCATCTTGCTCGGGGCTCCTCTGGCGGTGTAAGGCAAGCTGAGGGAGGCTAAGGCTGCATATGGAAAAAGGAAAGGTAGGATTTATAAGGGAGTGTGCTAGGATGGTAAAACAAGTCCTCCTCTATCTGAAATCAGTGCTGACATTATGTTATATCTACAGGATCAGGGTTACCGTCGTTTGTGTGTGTGTGTATTCATCTATTCCCTAACCCTACCTCCTTAAAAGCTCTCAAATCTCAGCACCACATTCTCAGTTAAGTCCACAGGCTCTCCGCATATCTTTCCCTTTTAACTAAACCCCTTAAAACAGCAAACTAAACACACTAGCGTGCCCGACTCGCACGTCAATCGGTTTGTTATTGTTGGGCCATGCTAGCTAATGCGCACGCTAGTCCGCTAAAGTGATGTGAAACGGGGTTACAGAACTCACCATTAGTCCCACTCCGACTTTCGATGTCCCCGTTCACACAGTTCAGCCATATCTGGATGGCTTTTAACCTGACACGTCAGTAATAATGTTACATTTTAGTGAACAGACACACTACCCGCAAAACCTGTCTTTCTTCTTTTGACGTTGATGGTAAACAATGAAACGGCACAATGCTGCCACCAACTGGTGGCTGCGGAGAATTTCACCCTGCGGTGTTTTATTAAACTTGAAATGAAAACAACAACAACAACAACAACAACAATAACGATGATGATGATGATAATAATAACTTGTGGAAATGTATCCTAATTACTGATGTAGGTTAATTAAGGCCTTGTTCTCTACAAAGGAATGCATTTCAAACTGCATCTTTTATTTTAGCGGTTTGAACACTTCCCAAGAGGCATCACGCCCAAGCATTGGTGGACCATTTAATTATAATGCGGCTTGTTTATTTAATAAGTTTGACTGGTGACCACACCTAAAAAATACTGACTTTTTGCTTTCACTGAGACTGTTGCACATTGTTTAAGTCTTACCAGCATCCCACGAGAAAACAAACAAACAAACCAAAAACTACAGCAGTTATTTTCATTTTCTCAGATCTACAATTCTTACCCATGTTTGTAAATTGTCAAACATCATCCTACCATAATGCCTGAACGTGACAAATCCTTTAGCAGCTGCTTTACGTTATTTAAAAATTGTGAAATATTAAAGCAAATAGCTGTTTTGTGATGTTGATATCTATTTGCTACAGAGCCAAAATCTCCAAGAAAGTGGTCTTGAGCAAGCCATGATCTTGAACGAAATAAGAAAATTAATGGATGGTCTTGAGCCTCCAGCCTTTCTGAAGGTCTTTTAGTCTTTCTTTGGAGATTGGATGCTTTTTCTTAATCTACTGCCTCTCCAGAGCTCAGACATCAACATTATTGAAGCACTGCAGGATCATTTTGCTAGAGATCAGAATACAAGGCAGAAAACATCCAAAGAAGAAGCTGTGGAAGTCCTTCTGAAGCCTAAAGAACTATTCCTGAACTACAAGAAAGCGAAAGAGAGTTCAGGCTGTGTAGGAAAATAAAGGTAACCATACCAAATATTGACCGTTCAAGCTCATAAGAATTGTACAAACTCTGCTTTTGCCTTTTATACTGTATTTCAGTTTATGTTTGCATGTGTTTCGATAAGTCACTTCTTCTTTTTTCCCATTTCCAAGCAAAATGGGAAATAGATGATGGCTCGAGATTTTAGAAAATTTGGGGTCTCCACTATAACTTGAAACAATAAATAAAATCCAGTTTGAGTTGGTATTATCGGAGTATTGTCAGTAGGAGCATCTAACATCCAGAGCCCTGCTGTCTCCTCTTCCAACCACACCCACATAAAAAATAATAAAATACAAAAACATGGACCATGATCATGACCCAAACAGCCATCAGAAGAGAATAGATTCCTCTTCGCTGACGCAGTGACTTTGGTATGTTATTAGAGTTGCATTGTCATGACTTCATCCTCTTGAAAGTTGACACTAAGCCACAGGCTGTGAGGACATCCCTACAGAGAGTGCAGACACATGATTACAGCACTCGCTCACAAAAGAACTCCAGGAATGAATTAAAAATGTTTTTAGTCTCCAAGATTAAAGATCCTGGGGGGCTGGTGTTAAAGACTATAAAAGTTTATATATGCTGTGTTGGAAAACAAAGTCTCCGTGTGTCGCTGAGCAAAGGTGGGGACTTAATTTCAGAACTTGGAAGGAAGATGCAAGTGTTCATGCAAAACAACAAATCAACCCTGCACACCGAGGGCGTTGTGTTTGCATTTTCAATTGTTTCCATCTGGAAGAGATTTACAAGAGCACGATGCACTTGTTTGAGACACGAAGCATAAAGTTCATCTCATGAAAGGGTGATTTATGAGTCAGTTAGACCTGTATTACAACAAGACACGCCGTTACCGATTACTCTTTTTTGCTAAATCTTGAAGCGATTTAAGTAGGAAGAAGAAGAGACTCGTGTTTATATAGTAGAAAAGGCCCCTAAAACAAGCTCAGCCGAATGTAATATTTCAAAATATGTTCTTTTTTTACTCATATCAATGAAAAAACGTCTCAAATACCCCAAACAGGAAGATCACTGAAGTTATCTTCAAAATAAAAGTTGTTAAAAAGTTTATCAGGAAAATGTTTTTGTGAATAAATATTTTTACACAACCGTCCTCTTTTGCATACTCACCCTTTCTTTATTAGTGTCTAAATATATAATGCAAAATAACTTCAACATGCTATCTCTTAGCGTCCCTATAAACTCTTAATTAATTAATAATATATAAGCCATTTTTGTTAACGCCCCCCGAATAAGGAATCCCGGAAGTGCAGAGGGAGTGTCATCTCGTCCCGAGGGCTCGTCTCATTGGCAGTAGTTTGACAGCGTCACTGTGAGCAGCTGTGCGCCCTGCCCACTTTATTTCATGATCAACATGCAGCTTCAAGGGGAAAATACCAAATGCCCTCTCACACCACTGATTCAACATGTGAGCAGGGATGAAACTGTGAAGATTAGAGACTATCCTTAACCGCACTGACTGGTTTTATTTTTATTTTATTTGTGTTTTCCATTTCCCAAACACGTTGTTGATATGTAGCCTGAAGCACAGGTTATGGATCGCATGTGGATATGCTGCAAAATCCTACTCCTTGCAATTGTTTGTGTGAGTTCGTCATCTCTGGAAGAAGAGGACGCTTCTTGCGATGGGGCGTTTGATATTTATTTTGTTTTAGACCGGTGAGTTATGAAGGCTAGCCTGTTTTACCCGTGCATTAATTCATTAATTAATTAAATACTTGCTACCCCAGGGCAGAGACTTACTCAGTCCTCTCCATGTATGGCTATGTTTAGTTCCTCCTCTGCTAGACTGCAGGAGTGACCACAAAGTTCACTCTTATTATGCTGTTATTCCCAACAGCGACAGATCAACCTGCTCCCCGCTTATTCTGTGTGTCTGCATGCACCAGCAGAATAAACGGACCCTTCACCTCTTCTGTTTTTTCTGCCGCTTGCAAATGTAGTAACTTTTGGAAAACATGATGTAGTCAAATTCTGTCACAGATCTCTTTGTTTTTACATTTTATCCTTGCATCGGACTGTATTATTGTCGTTAATGTTAAAAGTACAGTGTTGTGCGAATGTCTCGAGCCACCCCTCATTTTTCTTACAGTTTTCCTACTAGTTTTGAGCAGTAGATCTCCAGGCTTTCTGAAGGTCTTTCAGAGTTTCTCTTTGGACACTGGCTACTTTTTCACTCATTTTCAGTCCTATCCATGTCTAGTTTTCGGAGGGATGTGTTTTTTTGTTTGTTTGTTAAGCCACTTAACACTGATCTCAAGCATAAAGGGGGATCTAACTGAAGGGATGAACAAGACAGCCTAAAACAGAGCCACTTTTACTACTTTGTTACTAGCAACCTGTTGCAAAAAGATAATTTCCGTCTCTTTCTTTATCCGATTCTACAAAAAATGCAGCAATAAGGTGATTCCCAAATAACTTTTAACAAAAACTTGACATACTTCAGTTCGGTGTGCAGCGTGTCTTTAAAAAAATAACTAGATAAGAGGAAGCTTAAAAGCTATCCAGCAGACGAACAGTATCTGAAAGTCGTATCTTTAAGGAACAGAAAATAATCCAGCAAAGTCCTGATACAGAACCTGAGAGACAACCCTTCAGTCAGTGGATCTACTGTTCACTGAAGCCTCATCAGAAATGATCTCAGTGGAAGAGTGGCTAACAAGAAGGCATTCTTAACGAAGGGAAAGAGAGAAAAAGAAAGGCTGAGGTATGCAGAATTATGCAAGAACTACACTGAAAATCAGTAGCAACAGGTCTTATAGAGTGATGAATCTAAACTTTTGGTTCAAATTTTTGTCTGTATATACA